TTTTTTTTTTGAGAAACATACAGCTTGAAAACGTTGTGTGGAATTATCTGGGTATTGAATTTGTATTAAATTTTCTATTAATGATTCAATTTTTGTCTTAGAATTAGAAACTGACATTTTGCAAACATATACACGCCTCCTTCTTCTCCGCCATATTTTTTGAATTAATCCAATGGGAGGGTAATGCGTTCATTGTTGTGGTCCCTTTTAACTTATTCCTAGCTTACAGATCGGGACAGATAAGCGTTGATGAATTACAACGAGCACTTTCCAACGGCACCTGGAATCCATTTAATCCAGAAACGTGTCGTTTAATGATAGGTGAGCATCACTTTTGTGTGTGTTTCTTTTTTTATTATTTGCATAAGTTGAAATCTTGAAATTCGTGAGAGTAAAGCCTTTGTAACTCGATATTAATGTAAGTGATAAGGTCTCTCAGTATATTTATCCATCCTTGCAGGAATGTTTGATTCTAATGGTGATGGAGCGATAAATTTCAATGAGTTCCAGGTATGTCTCATTCTATCGCTTCGTCTTACACTTGCAATTCTTTCATGTTCTTAAAATAATTGGTTTTGTGATATGAGACAAGCAATTTTTTTCATTTCGGATAACATGCTCTGTCAGCTAATTGCCTTCTCTATATTCCTTGAAATATATCCTACCCCATAATTGCCGTCAGCATATGCTAATGTAGTCTAAAAAATGGAAAAGCATGATCAGATTACTGGAGACAACTTGTAATTTGAGTAGTGTGTTTGCCGTAGACGAAGAGCTCGAGTGTTGACTTTTCCATCTAACTCGAAATGACAGAACTTTCGGGACCTTCCTCGAAGTATGCATCTCGATAGCCTTCCTGATCCATTGTTTTAGGCCCTGTGGCAGTATATAAATGACTGGACAAACTGTTTCCGTGGTTTTGATCTCGATAATAGCGGCAATATCGATAAATCAGAACTTCAAAATGCTTTGACTCGATTTGGTGAGTTGTGTAAGATAGCACTAGTTTTTTTTTACTTATCAAAGGCTTTCGTTCCAGGATACCGCCTATCTGATCAATTCTATAATATATTAATGATGAAATTCGATCGAACCCATACTGGACATGTCAATTTTGATGATTTTATCCAATTGTGTGTCGTATTGCAGACCCTAACTGCTGCCTTCAGGTTAGTGAAGAGATTGCATCTAGCAGCCAAAATATTCCCTTCTAAAAGAACATCATTCTAGAGCTTTAGTAAACATCAACTTTTCTTAAGAATGCCAAATTAACAAACTTGCAATACACCATTAACATCTGGTTCTGTCTCGTTGAACCTTAGCTCTGAATGAGCATGCCTCTACTTCATTTTATGACACAACTACTACAGGAATCTAGATTCTCTGGTTGCTGTTTTTTCGGATAAGGCTCGGAACCCTAAACACAAAACAGCTATACCTTTCGGCTAATGTTTCCTCGTCTAATCTCTTGATTTTTTTGATCCCATTTTTTGCTCATTGAGTAGTGGGTAACACTGTATACAAATAGATATCTTACGGCGGGATCAGCTCTGCCTAGTTACAGAAGT